ACGAAAAATGGAATCCAGCATAATGCAAAGTTTAAATATCATAAAGCAAGATGGAATCAAGCATAATGCAAGTTCTAATGTCATGTAGCAAGATAGAATTAAGCATAATGCAAGTTCCAATGTCATCAAGCAAGATGGAATCAAGCATAATGCAAGTTCTAATGTCATGTAGCAAGATAGAATTAAGCATAATGCAATTTCCAATGTCATCAAGCAAGATGGAATCAAGCATAATGCAAGTTCCAATGTCATCAAGCAAGATGGAATTAAGCATAATGCAAGTTCCAATGTCATCAAGCAAGATAGAATAAATGCATTAATTCTGTTCCATATGCTATTCTTACCTGATTTGAGTTAAAACCGTTTCAATGTTTTTCAATATTGGATCATTTTTCACAATTTAGAAAATTATTCTGGATAACAGTGGAGAGCTAATGATCTGAAATTTTGCATACAAGTTAATTATCAAAATGAAACTTTATAGTTCTCAAAAATTATTTTCTCCTCAGTTAAAAAACCTTAGTGGACGTCCCTTAAAACTATTTAAACGATAACACACGGATTTGTTTCAGAAAATCAATTGGATTTCTCTAAGTGAATGTAAGTGAAAGAAGGTAGTTGGACCTGGATGACAAGTTTAACCACTATCTCGGTGACTATATGAACTGGTATCCTAACGAAACCAAGCCACGACTAATTCTCTCAATGACCCGAAAACTGCGCTGTTTCTTTATATACGATCAGGACACTGGAATGATGCTGTGTGCTCGGAACACAGAACTACTATATATGCGAATCATAAAAGAGTTGAGCTATTTTTAATTTATTTGCAGATGAAGTCCATTAGTTTATATCATCAATCGTATTTACATAGAACGTCGTCGTATTCGTTCGTCGTGGTTGGGGTGGTTGTTGTGGTGTGGTGTGTGGTCGGCCTCTGTGGGGCCCGCGGTCAGTGCCACGAGGAAGCCGCCCCTGAGGAGAATCAGGTCGGCGACTAGCGGTGTGGTGGTACGCGAAGAGCCCCGTGGTCCGCTGGCGAAACCACCCCCCTCTCCCCCCCCTCCCCGCCCACCCCCTCTCCGCTCCCCTCCCTCCCCTACGCCCCCCTCCCCCCCCCCCCCCTTACTCCTCTCATCATCATATCACCATCATCATCATTATCTTCCTTCTCTTCATCATCATTTTCATCATCATCACTTACGTCATTTAATGTCTTTTTTACATATAAACTACGGTTTTATTGTTCATTTATTCGGAACAGTATCAAAGAAAGATTTATATATGTATATAAAAGTATACCTCAGACTATACGGTTTTGTGTTAGACAAAATATATCCTTTACATATGACCTGTCTTGTCTGATGTAAATATAGTATGTGCTTTAAACTATCATTAAATTTTCATTTGTGTTTACTTCCAGCGAGGGTCAAATCATTGGGTAAAGGAACCTCACAACAGGAACATAAACAATAATTCATATTATTACCTGTAAATTCGAACGAAAATAAATATATAGTATAATTTATTTGTATTTGTTTAAAATTGAACACACAGAGAATCTTATCATCTCCATATCAGAAATTCTTAATAGTAGCACTCAATGATATTTAATCATTTGTGTCTTTGGCAAGATCAAATGTTCTAAGTTTGATAAGACTTGACGACCGCTGTAGATTTGTATAGCGATTCTGTACCTAAACTTGTTACTACTCTCATGTTAATTTCGTTTATATTTTTGGTTTTATAACAATTGTCATTACAGTAAAGCGTCTCTTTTGCGCATTACGACGGAAAACTTCTCGACGGAACAGCTTCGTAATTCGAGTGTTTATAGTGGCCACATATTAATCCCTGCATCTAAGCTGTATGGCATGAATTTAATGGAATGTTCTTATATATCTATTACGTCTTCTATATACCTGATGATATATTATATATAATCGGCTCTTCAGATTTGTTAATATATTGAGATTCATCCACTAATTTACTATGTGTAGTGATACCCAAAAGAGCATATTGCGAGTCGCATAAGGTGATCATACATCCCTCTAAGAGTCATTAGATTTGCTAAAGATTCGAAGTATTATGTTGTAGTTAATGGTACTTAAGGAATTTTCATGTAACTTTATTCCAATTAGAGTAATGTTTTACTTTTACCAGCGGTACAAGATAAACCGAGATGTATCCATTGCAATTTGCATCAAATTTACGTTTTGGAGATGTCTCCAGATTGAAGTCCGTTTTTAGTAGCTAACTTCAAAACCACTTGTCCCCCACCACGAGTGGGCCCGAATCCCACACTACTAAAAACTGGAATGAAACGTCCAATATGACCTTCAAGTGTTGATATACAAGTTAAAACCAAACCCGTAAAAGTACGAAGGATCAGACATTTGGAGCTTATCTTTTTTACTTTATACTCTCTCTGAGTACTATATCTACAGCAGCGCAGTTGATATTATGGACAGGAATAGATATATGTATGTTCTAATACAAAGACAAAATAGCAGTTTGAGGTACGCAGAGCATTACTCATTTAGGGGCTGAAGGCTACTCTATACTGTCTGGTTGACTATATCTAATATTCTTGACATTCTAGTTGTAGCGTAGTTATATTGGCTACTGTAGGCCACATTAACTTCCATACTTCTCCCTTAAAGCCTATATATCAATGTATTTTATGTATAGGCTCAGCTTTGGTCTCGTTTGTTACATCTGTTAGAAAGCCTTGTTAACTGATCATAAGAAGTAAGCATTTAGGTACTCGTGATATACACACTAAATCATATATATCTATAGATTTAACATTTCCCATACATTGATAGTCAGAAGCTATATATTATGCACTCAGCTAAACATACGATATACATTTATATATACACAATGATTAAAATGTAGAATTTACGTTATTCTTTCTCTTTTAACGAGTGACACTAGTAATGTTCAATAAAATAGATTGTATATTAGTCTCTGGGACACAGAAATTAATACTCACTGTAATTTACTATATGCACATAAAACATATATCTGTAGAGAAGTGCTATTCTGTTTTCATATAAAAGAAGAGGAGAGAATGTAAATACAACTCTCTTCATCATCTACACATGGTTTTGGGCTGCTAAGGACGACAAATGTCACTGAATTTCTTAGGCCAGTTTTACCTATCAGTCAGTTACGTCGTCATATATGTCATAGATGCATACTCAAAGCTACCAAAACAATTTTTCATGTGTATTTATTTGAGAAGCATCTGACATAAGTACATGTGAGAGGACTATAGAAGTCTGGTTTGCGAATATCTGATTTATTATTCTTGCGGGTTACATATTACTGCAGAACACACTTATATAGAATAGTCCTGCACTAATAGTAAAACTCGACTATATATAAGGGTAAATATTTCTTCGTGGTATTACAACCATTACTACTTATCTATTAGTAGGACACGCCACACTCTTAATCAACGCCCAACATGCCTCAGTGAGCTATATACTGATACCACACACTCTCGGAAGACACTCTCATCTCTTTCTCAGATAAACTCAATCATTGTAGATATATGCTCTCTTAAGTCTCAGGAGAGATAATATACTAGCCAGAATATATGGAGATGTTAATGTGTTCTCTCTTAAGGCTTTCAGAGCGGGAGAGAGTGCGAGAGAGGAGAGGAGCGACACCAAAAAGGGAAATATTATTTCAGACGAACGGGTCTCACGAGCGAGAGGGAAGTAAATGAACTGTTGGTGTTGCTCACCTAATGGGATTAAAGATGGCCTCGTACATATTTTATACAATCCTGTTACATCGTAAATCAAGTACACTCAAACTTGTTAGTATTTCGTGTCATATACAATATAGTATATGACAAAGCACAATCGTTTTTAATAAAAAGGACATTTATATAACCTCTCAACTCTAGTGGACATATGAAAAGCGTGCATGCCAAAAGTCAACTATATTACATCTGTTAAAAATAACGTTGACGTCATTTTACGAACTTCACGTTCAATTAAGTTTACGGCACTTTATATTGACAAAAATTCCAAAATTAAGTTAAATTCAAAAGAGAGAAACAGGTAATTAATCACTGTTTCAAACAGTGAAATTACCAGTTTTATATCACTGATTTATTTATATAAACCACCGAAAAGCATGTAATAAACAGTTGTATATAACATATGAGGGATGTTGCAAAAGTAATGTACCTTGCATTCGTTCTTTATAACAGCGATTTCTTCTGAATATTTTGACGCATTGTCCTTCAAAATGCCCTCCTTAATCTATCTAAATACATGCACACCTTTTCAGTAGGTCAATCCACTTTTGGAAGCAGTTTGCGTCTTTTCAGTGATACTGATAAACTGGAGATATAAGGGCATTTTCGAAACGTCTCTCTTTCCAAATGGATGAAAAGAGAAAAAAACTGCAAAGAGGCCATGTCTGGCATAAAAAAGATAAGTTAAGGATAAAAAAGTAAAGTAAAGATCGTAAAAAACTTAAAGACTACAAAAACTCTGTGACAGCCTGTGCCTTGTGAGCAGGCTTACACTATCATGCAATTAAGAAGTCTTGTTATTGGGAATGGGATTTGTAGTGTTTTAACATAATACTAGTAGATAGGCTTTTATGAAAACAAATTATCTTATAATCATTGATTTTTCTCATTTTAACGAAGAATGTACGAAGAAACAACAATCTCTAATGAACTGACTAACTATGAGTAGTGAAATGTGGAAATAACAAAGCATTATATTGTTTGAGTCAACCTGTTCTTGTCATGCAGCAGTGCTTAATGCTAGCTACTGTTCACAATCGCAAGCAGAGTTCAACATCTAAGTAGGCAAATGGTCTTCTTTAGGAATTTAGACTAACATCTGCAGATGTACAATAGTACATAGTATATACAATAGTGACACATTATAACACTATTGATAGCAAGTTTGATATAAATGAAATGTATACTTCATCTCTTATCATAGCTTATCTTTCGTGGGATCTACTGCCAGCAAAATCGGAAAGGTTGACAGTACACCGATTCTCATTTGACGCAATGTTTAAAGTTATAATATTAATTCTAACAGTTGGGACTGTAAAAGCTGGTATTCTTTTAATTTCTAAAACTTATTTATTGATAGAAACTTTCTTGATATGCGTTATCGTAGCTTTCAAAACGGTTTTTTGTAAATGCATTTCGGTGTAAATTTTTTACGATTATAACCTTTAATAAATACTTTGTCATTTCACGATCCAACGTTTCTTGCTAGTGTTTCTAAATTAGTTTATTAGTTTAGTTTATTAGTATTTAGTTTAGTTTATTAATTAGCATTTAAAAAATCCCATTTTCATTCAATCACCTCATGACTATTGAATTTTACAATTTTCCCTGCACCCTTTTTTCAGTCAGTTGCTAACCATGTTACAGTACAGTGATCTGACCATCATTGGAGAGGTCATGCATGGTCTATTTTCTTGAAATAATTTCTTCACGTCTTATCTCTCCACAGTGTTGAAAATGACTGCTGCCAAATCTTGTTGATTGCTTATGTCACCGTACAGGGACGGCGCACCAACGAAACCAACTAATATTATTTTGTCGTGGCACTGTCGTTACATGTTTTCATGATGTTTTCAAAAACAATTATATAGTGTGTGAAGTAAATGTAATAGACACATAAAGGTAGTTCAAAAGCGGATGTTTTCAGTTTGTACTCAAACGGTGCATGCTTTTAGGATATGAAGTCAGAAATAAATTAAGTGATAAAAGGGGGTCACGGAACTCATTTTCGGAATATCTTTCCTTAAATTTGAAGTGGCAAGGGCAGATAATTCACAATCAATGTTAACAAAGTCTTATTTTTCTACTTTTCATGTAACTGTCTTCGAGTGATTGTGAAAAACGTTTAAAATAAAAAGGATTAGTTTGTTTGACCTTTCTTCTTTACTTACACCTTTATCAACTTTCTTTAGAAAACTGTCACATTTAAAACAATTTTAATTCCGTACATAAACTGAAAAAGGGAAAGGTGAAACATTTATGTTAAATGGAATTTCATGAAATTTGGTATTTTGACCAAAGGTAAAAAAACTTGTCAGAATTTTGTATTAGTTATCTGCCCTTGGAATGGCCTAAATATAAATAAAAATAATCAAGTTCAAAGTCAGACGACAAGACGTGATCAGATGTTTCAGCTTCAAATGTTTCTGTAATAATAATAATAATAATCTAAGATTCAGCTTTCATTCATCTAATATGTATACTATTATTTGAGACGATTTTAAAATTCCTGTATCATCGACGACTCGAGGGCCTTTTTACTTAGTGATGTTAACATGTTTCCGGCTAAACTAACACACAAACATAATTAAATTTCAGGGTTTACTAATTTTCCAGGTTTTCTTCCCTAAGAAGATCTTTGTGTAAAAAGCGGGCAGTTTATATTGGTTAGTTCAATTCTAATTATATTGGACTTGTACGCAAAGTGATAGCTACAAGACCTATGTTGGAGTTGACCTAAACTGGCCTGATATTCATTTGTTCTCAATAATCTATAATAACCTATTGTATTTAGGCTTTGGGTAAATTACCGGTTATAATAACATTATTAGATTGGTTTTCTTTACTAAGAATTAACTTCTATTTTATTACCAACAGGCTTATCAGCCGGATGTCCAGACGGATGGCTTACACACGGAGGTATGTGCTACCTGTTTAGTCATGGGCGAGAGGACTGGCCCGGATCCTATGTAAGTGAAACACATACAGTAACTGTACTAAACATATCTCTATCGAAATAAAAAGAAAACAACAATTTCCTGTTACTGGTACGTCATGTTGCGATAAATCACGTAAAATCTTGTTCAAATAATTATTCTTAAAGACATTCCCATAAAAAAGAAAGGTCTCCACTAGAATATCTGACAGAATTGTCACTGGTGACTTCAACTCAAATGACTCTAACTCAGAGATGATGGACTATTCCTAACCTTATATATTCTCGATTTCTTTCCTTTAAACAGTAAGCATGGCTAGACGATTAAGAATTTTATCTCTCAGAAAGAGCACCAGTGGGAAGCTGATGACATCAATAATTATCCTCTTTATCTGACACAATTCTTAAACTCTACAAGTCATTTGCATACTACAACGTGACAAAAAATGTTAATCCAAACGATATTCCATGAGTCACAACAATTAGAGTTAAAACAAACATACACAAGGCAATCTGTAGGAGCGGACATGAATGTGTATTTTTTACCTTTAAACAACCGTGACCTTCATGTTGTGCCATGCATATTATGAGCATATAGTCTCATGAAAGTATTTTTTGTGCTAATTAAGTTATTTAAAATCTTTCATTAAGTCAAAAGGTTATGGAAAATATTTGACCTTGACCTTGGTGGTAGCAAACTGGATGTTGGGTTTTGTACATCGTGTCATAATGATGATTATTTCTGCGAAGTTATCTTAAAAACCTTCCAGCGTTTTAATGTTATGGAGCGACACGAAATATTGAATTTTAACACTTGATCTTTAAGTGTGACCTTGACCTTTGAGGAAGCAACCTATTTACTGCCGTATGCACATCTTCTCAAAATGATGATCACTTGTGTCCAGTTATTTCAATATTTCAGAGGTTAAGAAGTTATGAAGCGGTCACGGAAGTGTTACGGACGGACAGATGGACGGAATTGCCAACATTTAGGGTGTATTCGTATGTGCTTTTTCTTTATTTGGCACTTTTCCACATAAACCAGTAAAATTATCACATAAGTCGGTTTATGAGATTTCCTTCTTGTTTTAACTTTCATTATGGACCATTTAATGTTTGCTGGGACAGACAGACGGAAGGACGGACTGACAGGCGGGACCAGTCCAATAATCCCCTCCCCACTTTGCGGAATTACTAGATTACTTTTTGGCGAAATTCTTTACCATGCTATTGAAATAATTCTTTTTGACGTAGATTATAGTTTGGCGGCCGAGAAATGGTAACCGTTGAATATCTGGAAAAAAGTGATCCCCAAAAGCATAAAAAAACAGCAAAATTACATGAAACAGACTCGGTTTGATTGAGTCTGTACATGAGGGATAATGAAAAAGGTCAACATCCCTCATAACAACACTGCAGTGAAGTACGGGGCAACGTTTTACGGCTGCCACATATCACTTGACACATGCTGTTGTGAAGTTTAAACATCTGGAAAAATGGTATTCCCTCGGAAGCATTAATCACAACAAAATGACATGAAAATTGGAGACTCGCTTTGATTTACTCGGTACATGAGGGATAATGAAAATGTGCAACATCCCTTACGCCTGTTAAAACCGGCTTGGGCGGTACTCAATTTTCAACACCTAAAAGTGCTGGAATCAATGATTTTGAAGGACTAGAAAAAATATAACAACACAAAAGTGAAGTACGAATCAACTTTTTTTAAGTTGATTTTATTGTATAAAACAAATGCATGTTTAATTCTAGTACATCACGTTTAAATTCATATAGAATGCCTGCAAGGGAAATGCCATTATAAGCTTAGCTTACAGTTAATAATTCATGATTATTTGTACATGTATTTGCATTCGTGCGTGTGAATTTATTTGAAATTAGCTTAATATAGACTGGTGTGTTTGTGTGTTTTGTAATTGCAGTTAAAATTGTAGAGTGAATTTTTCCTTGTTGACAGGACATCAAACTAATGAAGTCGCAATGGAAGTTAATTGGTGATAATAAAAAAATCATATGCTTCGTAAGGGTCCTCATAGTCGAGTCTTCAGAAAAGCTTCATTTTAGCGTTACATGTTGATATTGTTTCAGGGCTACAAAATGTTTGGATTCGAAATGAAAGAACATTTAATAGGCTACTATATATTCTCTTTATAGGAAATGTGTAAAATAATGGGAGGACAGTTGAAATTGAGAGTGCAGCCGAAAATAATTACATCGTATTACAAGCAAAACCCGACCGTAAGTTTTTTTTTTCACCAATAGATTCATTCATTTTAGACAGTTTATGGCCTTGTTCTTTATTTTCTGTAACTCATCTTACATCATATAATAACTAGAGCTTTCAGCCACCAAAATCTTTGCTTTTTAAAAAATGTGTGGTCTGAAGAAATATTTGAACTAAACCGATAATAAATGAAGTATCAACTGTGTACACAGAATTATTTCAATATATTGCAATCCCAAAAAGATCTTCATATAAACTTGCTATATACTAAATTTTAGAGTAATATCTCATTCCTTACTCTAGTTATTGTCCGAGAACCATTTTTCTATTGTTAGTTATATTGACCCTTGACATCAGGGGGTCCAAAAGCAATTTATCCACAAACCATTTTCATATTTTTAGTAACTGATACCTTGACCTTGACAAACGGGAGACTAAAAGCAATCTCAAGCAATCTCTTCATATAAACTGACTATATATCAAGTTTGATTACATAATTTTATTCCTAACTCTAGTTATTGTCCGGAGACAATTTTTCTATTTTTAGTAACAGAGACCAACCAGGGTCTCAACTTAAGGTTGCTATATACCAAGTTTAATAACAATATTTTCTTCCAAACTAAACTTATCGTCCGGAAACCATGAAGGAGACCGACCGACGCACAGACCGACTGACAAGCCTACTCCTATACCGCTTTGTTTGTGGGTAATGATTAAAAATTATTTTTATATCATGAACAAGAAGAAAACTGGTTTGTTTTTATCATGTTTATTGAAGATTATTGGATTGGATTGAGTGACGCAAGTGAAAGGGAAAAAGTTGGGTCTGATGTCTTTTCAAACGCCTTAGCCGCTAAT